TGTGCCTGCCTGTTCATTACGCAGCAACCTGGCACAAGCCACAAAGCTCGGAGTTGCCTCCTTCGCCCCAGTCACAAGTCGTCATGGCAGAGTCGAAGGTCTTCGCTTTTGTTTTCGGCATGGCCTCAGGTCACATCAATCCTTCCTTGCCCTTGGCTCGAAGGTTGGTGTCTCAAGGTCACAAGGTGCATTATCTGTCACGAGAACAGATGAGGCCAGCCATCGAGGATACTGGGGCTACATATTGGTCCGAGATTGAAGAAGAGCATGAGCTCTATCATGGACGTGAGGTGGATCTGATGGGAGCCATGTTGGCCTTGAAAAAAGGAAGCTGGTGCTGAATCGGATCCCTTGATGGTGGGCTTTATGAAGGTGGGTCCCAAGTCCTTGGAGCTTCAACTTCCCGGATGCATCCGGTGGCTTCAAAAGATCAATCCCTCTGCGGTGGTTTATTGCCCCATGCTGAACCAAGATGCTGGCTATGCATCGCATGTTCTTCAACTTCCAAGTGTGGCACTCCTGACCACCGCAGGCCCAGGGAGCATGGCCTTGGCTATGCAATTCTTCCTGGCAGGTCAAGATCCCAAGGAGGTCGTGGAGCAGGCACGTGCCCATGAGCCTGTGCTACAGAGCATCCGCCACATCAAAGATACCTACGGCATTGAACTGGATATCTTTAGTGGCTTGGAGACCTTCGGTTACCTTCCAATCCTGAAAAAGGCGGATCTGGTGATGATGACGACCACTGAAGATCTTCAAGACCCAGCATCACTAGAGCTCATGGAACGCTATGAGAAGGACGGTGTAAGCTTCGTGGGTGTTGGACCTTTGTTGGACCAGAAGGGTGCCAGACGTGCAGCTGGACACAAATTTGAGCACGAAGCTTCATCCAAGCCATCCACGCAGAAGGTTGACATTCTCAAGCAAGTGCATGAGGCAAAAGAGGTAGGGCGCCCGGTGATCTTTGCATCCATGGGAACCGTCATCACAGGTGACAGTGATGATTTTGGGTGGAATGTGAAGCCCCAACAGTCTTCTGGACGCCAGGGCCTGACGGGAAAGCAGCTGTGCCAATCCGCCTTCAGCGCCGTTTTTGATGCCTTTGGCGCAGAAAAGGTTGATGCCAAGACGCCTTTGATCGTGCTAGCCACGGGCCCTCAGCCAGATGCCTTGGAGAACCTCCAGGTGCCTTCTATTCTTGACCCATTTTGGGCAGAACAGCTTCATGAAATCCTTGTCGTTGGGAGTTCCAATGGTGGGTTGCCCTGGGGTCGCGGATCAGCCTGCTAATGCTCAGAAGGCTCAAGCCATGGGCGTGGCATTGCAGGTTGACCGACCTGTGCCCGTTGATGGTGAAGAAGAAGCAGCCATGGTGCAGTACCGCAAGGACGTGACTGAGGCCTTGAGGCGGGTCTTCGATGAACCACAATTCCGCCAGAGGGCAACTGAGGTGAGCCAAGGCATTAGAGAGGCCGGTGGAGTCTCACGTGCAACTGAGATTTTGTTGGACGTGGCCCACATGGTGAAGTCAGGCCCGAGCTTGCCCAAGTTGTTGGGTCATCACGATGACCTAAGGAAGTCCATGAAAGTGGCCTGCTGAGTGGCAAGCTCCGTTTTCGGCCCAAGAGAGGCCTCCTTTTAGGCGAGCTTGCTTTAGGAGTTCTCATCGGATTGATGGGCTCAAGCTTGCTTGCCAAACACTGCGGGGATAGTTGTGGTCCTTCTTGCTAGCTGACATCGTTGCTCGAGACTTTTGCCATTGCTGAGGTATTGAACTTTGCTGTGAGAAGTTGTTCAGAATTGGCTGTAACTCTATCGTGCTTTAATGTGTTTTATATACCTACTAGAGATTCTTGGTGAAGGTAGCTTCTCATCACAAATCACAAGAGCTTTCTTTTTTCAAGGAGGAACAGCATTGGGAGAAACTGGGGTCAGCTAGTTCAAAGTGTTGTTTTTCTCACCTGCTCCGCTTTTTCCAACGCTAAACTGCTTGCCCTGGGGTTTTGTTTTGCAAGAGGGGCCCCACAAGTCCCAGTCTTCGTTGGGCGTATGCCTTTTTGCTCCCATCCTTTTCTTGAGTTTCCTAATTCTACCACCTAGGGCCTATGGGTGTTTCCCTTTCCTTATGCAACCGTTTCATTCATCAAAGCGTTCAATGCCAGCCAATGCTTTGTTCTGCTGCTGTCCAACATAGCATCCCCTGGGGATGTTCGCAAAAGGTGGGCACTTACGTTACAGTAATCATATAAGTCAAAGAACAACTTGAGCAGTTTTGGAGTTCCAAGTTAACTGCGGCCAGAACAATTGCCCCAAGAGGGAATGCAAGAAGAGCCATTGCATGCTTGTTTGCTTGCACACATGCTGCAACGTTGATTTTGTAGCTTTGTGTCTAAATTGTGGTTGGATGGACGTCACAGGGCGGTCAGCCATTTCTGCCGTTGCACAGCGAGTACAGCGCTGCAATCTTCAAAAGAACACGATTGCACGACAAATCCACCGTTCATAGGATGTTGTTTGCCTGAGAATTCACAGCTGCAGTGTTCATCGTGTGCCTGCCTGTTCATTACGCAGCAACCTGGCACAAGCCACAAAGC